TTTTTGTTTCTGGAAGAAAACCTTTGAGAATGGGAGCCTCCAGTTCTAGAAGAAGGGCCAGAACTAGAAGAAGGTGTGAGTGAACTACCACCACGGACAAATCCCAAACTACAGAGTCTACCACCACCACCTCTTCTATGCCTAACGGGAGCATTGGGAAAGCTGTCAAAAATAGGAGTTCTTCTAGGGTTAGGGTTTGGAGAAGCCATGACAAAGGAGATTGAAGTGAAGACGAAGTGAATAAAAGTTTTGAAAAATTAAAGTGTTCAATACGCTTTAAGTGGTAGAAGACAAAGATGGAAGTTATATTTATACCGATGAATGACCGTCAGAAGGAAAGAGTATAAGTGATGGGAAGTCCATAATAATGATAACTGACACTTCGTGGACAGGGAAGCCGAAAAAAAAGCCTAAGAAAGTGCTATGCAATGGTATAACCAATAAGAAGATGACACGTGTTTAGCGCATTAAATGAAAGTAATAAGTGAAGCGTCAAACTCTCTCAGAGCATTAATGGTGACAGAAATTCTCCCTTAAATGAATTCCACTTCCCAAATATTCAAACTGATGAATAAATGGAAAGTGGGGGGACTATCTGTATTGGGGAAAATTATATTTATGTATATGGTGACGTATAATGACGTATAGACTGGTCAAACAGTCAAAGAAATAAGGTTGGTTAACAGATACGAGCAACAACAGATACGAGTAAATTAAATGGAGGGGGTGCGAGCAGTCATACAAGTAATTCAACGCTCGTACCTATTCAAGACATTTGAAACTCAAAGATAGTGAAGAATCAAATGAATGAATCTAACAGCAAAAAGGAGCCCAGATACAGCATTTAATGAGTATTAATTATTGGAATCGTTAGAGAATATGTATTTAATGTATATGATTGCATAACGTAACATTTAAAGTCATTAATTGCCCATAATAGCATTATTGTGACAAAGGTAAGGCTCGTATCCCAAAAGAGCTATAAAAAGGGGAAGAAACAAACAATTGTAAAGGGAGGTGACTATTGGAATATACTTTGATTTACCAGCTTTCATACTTGGTTACTCTAAAATTTCTTTCTTTATTTACTTTTTCGATTATCAGTAACTCGATTCTTCTAAATTCTAGTTTTGACTAAAATCCTATTTTTTGGTTAAACACGCCCGAGTAACCCTTCGACTTATTCTACGTTCTATCTTGTGTAGAACAACAAATTCCCAAATTTAGTTATACGAAGCTTTACATTAGAGACCAAAAGCGTATTAAATATTTGCAGATGTAGAGTTTTATACTGAAAACCAATGTTTCATAAAGCTTTATGGCCAGATTAGTATCTATTATATGACAAACCAAACAAGTCCTGAGGTTTTAATTCGATTCTAGCCTATGTGATTAAACATGGTGTAGTGAATAAAACAATCCCACAATCAATGTATATACTCTAAATCATCTTTATCAAAGCCGCACATGCGTCAGTGTTATCAAACCTCTCTTGTAAGACCTTGAAAGTTGAAACTAGGTGAAGCTCAAGTTCGACACTTTGTCTTGCTTAGATAGCGCTAAACAAAGGCATTGAAGTCATACGCCACTTGATGAGCCATTCGTCTTCAAAGATAACATGGCTTCTCGAAAGAGTAAAAAGAGAGGATTTTGAAGAAGCAGTTAAGGCTATGTCAGGCATTGGCGTAGATAATGGAATTGGATAATGAATCAATGTAGTGTAGCTGCTTTGGTTCGCCATGATGGAGATGAATCGAGGGTGTCGGAAGATTCTGCCACATGAACTGAGCAAGAGGGAGCTTTACTGTCATTTTTGCCCCTACCATTTACCTATACTGCCCTAAAGTTTTCAGTTTAGGAAAATTAAATAGGAGATTTCTGCTATGAAAATTATACTATTGTATTAATAATATAATTTAAATTTATATAAAAATATAGTATTATTCTTTTTGAAACAAACTAAAAATAACTAGTTTACATGAAACATAGGATAACATAATTATTTACTACAGCAAAATACACATACGAGAAGAAAGTACGATAAATCAACACTCTTGTTAGCGGGTGGATGACATAATTGATATCTCTACCCCTTTAAATAAAATTCGTGTTTAAGTTAAAAAAAAATATAATTATAAATTAATAGTCTCAAGAATTTACTTTATACGAATTTAACTAGTTGAGCGAGTGAATATATGGTTAAGGAAAACAAGGAGAGTACTAGATTTAAAGTTACACAAATCATTGATGCTTATTTCAATGTTCAAAATACCTTTACTTGGATATTCGTGATACTATTTATCAACTTTCTATAAACGATTTCAACGATATCAAATTTCGCGATTTTCACGAAAATGTTATCTATACCCCTTGATATTTTTTGGAATTTTAAGTTTTCTAATAAGATAAAGCAGAATTTATGGGCAAAATCAGAACTGCAGAGGAGAAGAACTTTTATCAAAAGTTATTGAATTTTAACTCGTATATCCAAGAACAGGGTTAAGGCAATTTTGTCCAGTGTTCTTGTACTTTTCGTCACGTCGGCTCTAGGGTTTGCAGAAGAACCTCGATTTTTTTGCGATTCAATCAATTTTTTCCTATTGTAACGCGCCAAATCGATCCAAAATCTGAACGCTACCCATCTATTTCTTACGATTTGTTTTTGTGTTTTCGAGATGAGGGGGGACGTCCTTTGGAGGTGTCTGGAGGTGAAAGGTGTGACGGTGGCTTACATTAGCGCGATACAGGATATGTATGATAGAGCTATGACTCGGATTAGGATTGTGGGCGGTGATCAGAGCCTTTTCCGGTGGTTATGGGGTTACACCAAGGATCTGCGCTCAGCCCGTTCTTATTTGCCCCTGGCGATGGACGCACTGACACACCATATCTAAGGAGAGGTGCCACAGTGTATGTTGTTCGCTGATGATATAGTTCTAATTGATGAGACGCGAGGCGGCGTTAATGGGATACTGGAGGTATGGAGGCAGGCGTTGGAGTCTAAAGGTTTCAAGTTGAGTAGGACTAAGACGGAGTATGTGGAATGTAAGTTTAGCAACGTGACGGGGGACGAGGATGTTGAAGTCAAGATTGACTCTGAGGTCATCCTCAAGAGAGAAAGTTTTAAATTCTTAGGGTCAATTATCCGGGGAGATGGGGAGATCGACGAGGATGATACGCACCGTATTGGGGTGGGATGGATGAAATGAAGGTTAGCGTCTGGAGTCCTGTGTGACAAGAATGTGCGATCGAAACTCAAAGGTAAGTTCTATAGAGCGGTGGTTAGACCAGCCATGTTGAATGGGACTGAGTGTTGGCCAGTAAAGAATTCACATATCCAGAAGATAAAAGTAGCAGAATGAGGATGTTGAGATGGATGTATGGGCACACTAGGCTGGATAAGATTGGGTATGAAAATATTCGGGAGAAGGGGGCGTGGCTCCGGTGGACGACAAGATGCGGGAAGCGCGGCTTAGATGGTTCGGACACGTGTAGAGGAGAAGCCTAGATGTCCCGGTTAGGAGGTGTGAGCGGTTGGCTTTGGCAGTTACGAGAAGAGGTAGAGGGCGGCCTAAGAAGTATTGGCGCGAGGTGATGAGACAGGACATGGCGCGACTCCAGATTTTCGAGGACATGACTCTTGATAGGAAGGTGTGGAGGTCGAGCATTAGGGTGGTAGGTTAAAGGGTAGTTGAGCGATTTTCTTCTTTGTCCCGATTTTTCTCTTTGTACCGATGAGTATGATAATGTTGTGTCTAGCACTGCTAGCGATTTATATTGTGTTTCACACTTTTGCATAATATTTGTGTTATTGCTTTTCCATTTATTTATTGTCTCTCACGTTGCTGATATTATTTTTTCGGATTTTGTTATCAAAGATCTATTGTCGGTCTCCCGGAAACATCCTATCTACCCCCTCTGAGGTAGGGGTGAGGTATGCGTACACTCTACCATCCCTAGCCTACACTGGTGGAATTTTACTGGGTTGTTGGTGTTGTTGTATCAACTTTCTATAATTGATTTCTTGTCATGTTTCACTAATTGTTACTATATTTTAAATTGATTTTCTATTAAAAGTTACTGTAAAAATTGCGCAGGCGCCCTATTTGGTCGCATATGCCCATAATTTTAAAATTATTTAACCTATACCCTAATTTTTACAACTTCAGGCGCCTCCTTCTTCCTGCTACCTGTACAAACTTCAGCTTATTTAGTGCTGAAGTTTTTACAAATGGACTAAATAACTTCAGCATCTTCTGCTGAAGTTTTTGAAAAAGCTTTATGACAAAACTAAACTTCGGCTTATTTAGTGCTGAAGTTTTTTTAAAAGAACTAAATAACTTCAGCATCTTCTGCTGAAATTTTTGAAAAAGCTTTATGACAAAACTAATGAATCCAGGTTGAAATTTCAGCTTATTTAGTGCAGAAGTTTTTACAAATGAACTAAATAACTTCAGCAGCTTTCGCTGAAGTTTTTGAAAAGCTTTATGACAAACTAATGAATTCAGGACAAACTTCAGCTTATTTAGTGCTGAAGTTTTTACAAATGAACTAAATAACTTCAGCATCTTTTGCTGAAGTTTTTGAAAAAGCTTTACGACAAAACTATTGAATCCAGGACAAAACTTCAGCTAAAACATGCTTAAGTACAGCAAATAGAGAACAAAACTTCAGCTAGTAAGCAATTACAAACAACTTCAGGCCCGTGTGCTTGATGTTTATGCGAATAGTGGGTACGCTTGCAATTTTTTTTGCAAAGCGGGTATAAGTTAAAACGTGACACAAAAAACGGGTATAGATACAAATATCTCAAAGTTACTTAAACATAATTGTGAGTTGTGACTAGAACTTTCAAATAAATACTACGTGATTAATGTAGTTGAAACAACATAAAATTAGAAACATTCAATAATCACGCCGCATCAAGCAATATTTGGCATCCAAGCGTTAATAAGTGCAATTTATTACGTGTCGGGCACAAGTCGTAATCGGAGCTCCAGATCCATTATTCAATTGAGTCGGGTACAAGAAAGAAAGCTTCCAACACAACTTGTCATCTTCAATTCGTCCACGAATCCATATCGTTTGCTTCCAGAACCATCGACGAGTTTGGCAATCTCATTTTCTTCTGTAGATGACAAAGTTGTAGGCTATGGCATCGTCGTCGTCGAGTTCTCTGATTCGTCGAATTGTTCCCTTTTTCACCACTCGGATTCGCCAAAATTACCGCCTTTTGAATTCTTCTGCTTCTTCTGCTCTATCTCAACCCCAATCCCAATCCCAAGTCGAAGCTCCCGATTCCGTTTTAATGACCGAGAGCTGCGTTCGTGTAAGTTTATATCTCACAATCGGAAGTTTTCCCTGTTATGATTGATATTATTTGGGATATATTTTCTGTCGCTGTAAATATTTTCTTATGTGAATTTGTAACATAAATTTTCAAGGTTTTTATGCTGTCTCTTTTGAAGGCATCACGAGACTTGAACCCTTTTTGTTTAATCAGCTAAAAAGTCAAAACTTATTTAGTTGCTTTATGAAAGATTGTTAAATTCCAAGCGAATAGCTCCAACCTCCATTTCTGAAAGGGTTTATATGGAAAAGGGTTTTTTTTTTGGGTCTGGAAATTGTGATACATATGACTATGTGAGAACATAATCAGTTAGACGACAAGATTCAAGCTTTTATACTGTTTTATGAGGTTTGATGTGTGTAGAGATTTAGGTGTCTGTAAAATTTAATTGAGACAATTCAATGACTTGGTCCTTTTACTTGCCTGAGTAGAGGATGAAAGAGTTGCAGGCTGGTGAACACCAAGAGAAGATGCTTCGTTTGAGTGTTGAAGCTGGTGGTTGTTCGGGGTTTCAATATGAATTCTCTCTAGATGATAAGACCAATTCTGATGACAGGTTTTCTACTATTTGTCAGCCTATTTAATTTTCGGGCCCTATTTGTCTTTCCTTAATTGTCTTAAAACTAATTATTGAGTATAATTGATTGATTGCTGAATCATGTTCCCAAAAGCCACTTAAAATGCACTTTAGTACCATATGTTACCAGTATTAAGATTTGTCAGTATGTTGTTTATGCTGCCATCTTAGAATTTTTGAGCGTGACGGAGTTAAATTGGTCGTGGATAATGTATCATATGATTTCATCAAAGGTGCAACTGTTGATTATGTTGAGGAGCTGATTCGCTCTGCTTTTCAGGTCTGTAAATGTACCTTCATTGTTGGTATTTTCTTGCATGTCAGTTACATACACATCCATATTGGTATTCTAGATCAATAGCATGACAGATGTTGCTATTCTCATTTTCAATTACTGTTTGTCAATGAAGCAAGAACGAGGACAGATCATTAGCTTAAGCCCAAAAACACTTGCCATTCTCAAATATGATGATTTATTAGCCTGGGTTAGAAAATAGAAGTTTTACCTTCAAGTAGTTTATCTATAAATTAAAGGTGTCTAACTCATATAGATCAGAATTCTTATTTTAAAATGCATGATTTTTTTCTGCTTTTGAAGTATGGGAAAAGATCACTTTAGACTTGAGCAGTTTTTTGTGTCTCTATCTTGTCATGTATGGAACAAGGAAATTAGTTGATACTTCAAAAGGTTATCTTGCACCACATACAGTTTCATGCTTCCTCCAGACAACCCCCATGTTCTCCCTAGTGCCCATCAACTGAAAATGTATCAGAAACAGAAAAGAACAAATGAAAAGAATAACACAATATGTTGTAAAAAAATAATGTATTTGAAAGGCGCAACTATGATAAGTAGATGGATGCTAGAAATAATGGACCCGTGCTAAAATTATTTATGAACAAACAAAAGTTTTTTTTTAATTTTTGCAAAACACAGGTAAAATGACTCGGACCATATGTTTTACTATTGTGATTGAACTTTTGGTACTACCTTCTAAAGGGGAATATGGTGTTAGTGCTTGGATGTTATTTTGGAGGAAAACAGTTGAAAAGCTTCTTAGATTTGACAAAATTACAAGCCTGCAAGTTTTCTGGTGTTATCTGAGCTATAGGGAAATAAAAGTCACATGGTCTTAGAAGAATTCAAACGAGGGTGTGGTAGTGTATTACACGAATTTATACCATTATCCTAATGTTCACATTGCTCCAAGTCCAAGAATTTTCATCCGTTAAAGTTTGATATATCTTTTAGCTGGCACTAGGACCATTTCATTGAGTTTGCATTTAACCGCTTTTGTGCATGTCTTATTTTCTGCAGGTGTCTACCAATCCTAGTGCAGTGGGTGGATGCAGTTGTAAAAGTTCATTTATGGTGAAGCAGTAAAATGGCACATTCAGCCAAATAATCGCCATTCCAATGAGCAGGACATGGTTTATTAATCCTTCTGGTGTCTAATATCTGTTCATCATATACTTGTGGTAGCAAGACCTGCATTATGAGGCATTTTTCCGAATTTGTACTCAAGAGATCATAGGTTCTTTTGTACATGTCAATTCTTTTGTCTTGTTGGAGCTAGTTGGAGGGTAGAATGGTATTGTTAAACTAGGCAGCGCAATAATTCCAGCTGAAGAGATGCTATTCAGCATTTGACAAGGAAAATTGAAGTGAAGATGCTTCAATCAGAACACATCTTACTGGTGGCATTCCCTGTAGGCTGTAGCTATTGTTATGAAGGTCCTGAGAGCATGCATACTAGATAGTGTCGCCATCCACTATGGTAGAAAAGTTTGATGAAGCAAAGCTTTATGTTTCTGTATGATGCTTGACCACTTTATGTTTCTGTATGATGCTTCAAATCTATGTTCATGTTGATGGAACCTATGTTGCGCGGACTTTCCAACATGTAGCCGCACCCGTGTCGGATCCTTCAAAAATGCATTACTTTTGGAGGATCTGACACGTATCCGGCCACATTTTCGGAGAGTCCGAGCAACATAGGATGGAACAATGCTCAGGTGATGGTCTAAAAGTGGTACCAAAGATTGGGTGAAATGCCAATATGAAGGAGCTACTCACACCAAAGCTAGTAATTGTTGTCAAAAATGTTACATTTCATACCACTATTGTCTGTCGATACTGTCTGTCTTAAGTTTTTCTACTTAACGCTTCAATTATCATAAATGAGCACCCACTTAGTCTTTCTCTCATGTCTCTTCCTAACCACATTTATAGCATATCAAATTTTAAAGACTTAAGCCTAGTTTATGGCGAGTAGACATATGGTTTGAGATTGTATTAAGCATTGTTTATATAGGATCTAGTAGCAGGTAGATCAAATCCGATAATAGAGGATAACTGATTTAGAATAAAATTGCAAATCTTCCTCAAATTACTTTTTAGTGCAAAGTTTATAATGTAAAACTACTTTAGTATGGTTTATTTTAGAGAAACTTTCTCAAATCACTATGTTTTAGTGGTTATTAGTTAGTTGTAGTTATTATTTAGTATTATATTACTTCTTATAGCTATATTTTCAGATTTTTTAGAGTGTATTCGATGTATTTAAAATACTGTATTCATGAATACAGTAGCATTTCTAAGCGTGAAACAGGGGATTACAGCTAGACAGATTTTTATATTCGAGTGTATTCGACTGTATTCATGACGTGAAACATGAAATTAAAGCTGGACAGATTATTGTATTCGACTGTATTCACGGCGTGAAACAGGGGATTACATTGTTTTTAAATGGAAAGTGAATCAATTAACATAATAGACTCCTAATATAACTCAACAAACTCAATTATAACACACAAATTTTGTATTTTCAGTTATAAAAAAGATTCTCAACCGAAAAACACCTCAAAAACATAGCAATCTTCAGAGAAATTATATAATACATTTGAATACATAAATTATATTAATTAAATAAAACATATGAATGCATTCATGGAATATAGCGAGACAGTGAATATAATGAAATACATAGAATACAGCGGGATACATTGAAATACAATGAAAAAAAAGACATGAATACAATGAAATACACCGAGATACATTGAAATACATTGAAATATATTAACAGAAAATACAAGTTCCATTACAATGAGAAAATATCTGTCAAAAAATCTTTCCTTCTTCCATTGCTTTTAAAAGAGCAATTGTCTGTAAATGGCGACAATTTCACTGTCTTTTGTTTGGCTGTGTCGACTTTGTGTACTCTTTTAGCAAATAAGAATATTAGACCTGAGGGAGAAATATCACGACTTCTTCTCCTTCTCCAGCGAGATTGAAATTCGACTGTGAATGAGATTGGGAGGCTGAGGGCAGCGGTATGAGGGAGATAGATATGGGGTAGGAGATAGAAGAAATTTGAGGGGATATAAGAGAGAAAAATAATACAAAGTTTATTTTATGGCATAAGGGTAAGAGGTAACCATAAATAGATATTTGACTATAAAAAATCAAAAGGTAACTATGGAATATAATTTTTTAAAAGGATATCTATTTAAAAATAAATTAGGTATCAACCTTTGCTATATGAGGTAACTAATCCAATAATGTATGTACAATTTTTATTCTATTAGATTAAGTTGGGACATAATAGAAAATCCAATAATATTATCTGAAGGATAAAGCAATAACTTTTTATAATCAGTTAAATTATAATGATAAGATAAATTTATTTATACTACCCCGAGTAGAAAAATAATTATGCATCTTTTTTCCTACCGTTGACGCTTCTGAGGAGGTCATATAACTTAAATTCAATTGTAATGAAATTGGAGAGGGGGAAAAACAGATTCAAATAGACTAGTTTTAGAATACGCACGATAAATCAACCATTTTAGCAATATCCTTGCATCATAAAAATATACTAAGTACTTATCGATCTGATGATGATACATACTGAAAAGTACATATTTAGATGAATTCGTATGAGTAACAAAAAAATAGAGCATGATTGGAGTTGTTGACCTAAAACTGAAGAATTATCATTTGGATGTTGAACGCATAAGGACATAAATCTAAGAAGTATTTCTTTGAGAGTAATTATAATGAAATCTTTTGAATGTCAACTCCATTACCCTACTTAAAAAAGAATAGTGTATCATCCATGTTACAGGAGTAGAATTAAATAATGATAATAATCATATCTGTTGATACTCAAGAATCAATATCAGGTTTTGGTGGGGTTAAATTTTAACTTAACGACAAGATATGCTGTTGGCACTACATAGTTATAGTTTGAAGCGGAGCTTTGGAGCAACGGTAAAATTGTTCTTGTGTAATTTATAGGTCACGTTTTCAAGCTTTGGAAGCAGCCACTAATGCTTGAATATATTACTCTTTGTATTAGGTACGTTGTCTAATGAGATATGGCCTTCTAGACACTGTGTAAATATAGAATATTTTGCGAACCGAACTGCCTTTTTTTTTATATATAGCTATTGCACTCTTTAATTTGTCCAGATTTAACCTCAAAAAATTGTTTAATACATGTGAATGCGTGATTCACTTGGAGAAAAAAGTTGATTATCTAAAGAAATAGATTAAGAAAAAAAACTCTTCAACTTCTAAATGATGGCTGTCCCTTTTTTATTCTTTGTTTTATTGTATATTTTGTTTTACACGGTTGCAATTTTCCCTTGTGACCTTTATTCCTTATGCTATTTGGGATGGTTGTAACTTGTAACTAAAAGACTGGAATCTGATAGTATAACTTCTCGACTTTTTAATTTTTTATATTCTAGTCATTTAAAAGATAATTATAAATCTTTTTATAATAAATGTGAATTAGTAACTTCATAAGCGAGATAACTAAACTGTTATAAACATGGTAAACTATATCAATCGTGTACGATGATTTTATAATACTGTGTGATCGATGTATGTTATAGTTAATCTACTTTTTGGAACTCAATGTCTCTTCTCTTCAAAAAGAAGAGACAAGAATAACAAAAAGAAAAAAGAAAACAAAAGGCAGGACGGCAAGGATAATATGTTATTCCATGACCTAACATCTAATTTTGATTTAATTATATTGTAGGCATAGTGAATTTATTAATGCATGAATCATCCCCTTTAGTTCTTTATGACTCTATCAATGAATGAATCATTCATTCTACTTTTTTATGAGACTATACCAATGCATGAATTATACATCCGCTTACTAGTTCTTGTCTTCTTGATGACTACTTTCAGTTCTGCAACAACAACAACAATAATATATTCAATATAATTTTACTAGTAAGGTCTGAGAGAATAGGGAGTACGTAACCTTACCTCTACTTTGTGTAAGATAGAGAAGTTGTTTCTGATAGACTTCCGACTTAAGAAATTAAACATTTTCAAAACAGGTTTAAAAATACAAAATTAGAAAAATATATGATGAAAATACTGAAGAAAAGGAAAGTATTGACATGAATTATAGTAAAGACAACCAACGTGAAAGAAAAAAAATAGTAATAAAAACAAAGAATAACATAATAATAGATTAATACTACTAATAGTGATGAGGGGAAAAGGGAGCAAATAAGGTGTTTTAAATTAGAACCAAGCTCTCCCAAAGAAGAGAGAGAGTGTTCAACTGTCTACTGACTTTCTACCCTAATTATTAACCTTCATACTCTCCTACCTAGGGTCATCCATGCCCTCGATGAACTTTCAATTCCGCAAGAAATTTATAATAAAGCACCAAACCTGATTTCCCTTTTTATTTTCCTTTGTTGTACAATAGGAAGAAATAAAGAGAGAATATAGTTATACATGGTTATATACATTTTATGCGTAAATGATAAATATATTAAAAATTCATCAGTTATTTTTAATTTAGGCAGTGAGCGAATTAACAACTATTTAGAGTAATGCCTTAACAGAAAAACCAATAAAAAAAAAAGAAAGAAAAGAACAAGAATTATGGTCTTTTACAAGGCTAGCCGAGCTACGAAAGAAATTGCAATTAGAGGCGGCAAAGTGTCATGACCCAAAATCTAATTAGACGTGATGGAACTTAACCCAAACCCGCTAGGTAAGCCAATAACCAACTATCCAGTTTGATGAGTTTTATTAAGAGAAGAAAAGATAATACAAATATTTTTATTCAATAATTTTCCAAAGACTGGTAGTACAAATTATGAGCTTCTAAGATTTAGATTTTTACAAAACTGAATCGAGATAATTCAATGTCTGTTTGAAATGTAATAAACATAATTGGAATCTAATGCTACCAAGGACAAGTGATAGACATAACTGGAACGCAGGTACACAGCTCCTGCTTTGCAGCAACATCTGCATCCAACACCTGCACGCAAGGTGCAGAAGTGTAGGTTGAGTACAAACGACCATATATACTCAATAAGTAACAAACATAACCTTAGGTTGAAAGTAGTAACGAGCTGAGATAAACGTGAGAGTTCAACACCAACAGCCAACAACAACTCATAACAATATAATAAAAGTGGTACAAGAAATAACTCAGAGATATAATGCTTAGCTCGTTCACAGTTTCGAAAAATAGGCATGTTTTTCAAATAAAATAGTAAAACCCAAATCTTTTACCGAAAGCACCAAAATATGAGTAAGTTTGTAAAACAGTTTTACAAAACTTTTCAACAAGTAAATGTTTCATTATCAAATGGCATGGGAAAACTACATCTTTAAGCATACATGTCACTGTGTAGGAGAAGTCATGAATGACGTGATACCGTACAACATGATGAAGATGCATCTCTATGCATGTATGACAAGCGCACGTCAAATGCAATACAACATAGTGAACAACCATATGCATACTCTCGGAGTATCAGTCCACTTAATGCTCCGAGTCACTCAGTCCTCTCAATTACTCAGTCCTCACAGTCACTCAACCCTCACTGTCACTCAATCCTCCCAATCACTCGGCACTCGCAGTCAATAGGTACCTGCGCCCATTGTGGATGTGCAGACTCCGGAGGAGCAATTCCAGCTCAAGTGCCATAATAAGCCAATCATGGCATGAATCAAATAAATATGCCGCGACATGCATACCGAACCCATAAATATCCCCACAATCAATCACTCGGTCTCACTCAGTCATCAATCTCTCCAGTCTCTCGGGCTTCGAGAATCATGATAATCAGTCCAAGTGATATAATGTATAAATAAATGGCAACGAAGACTGAGATATGATATGAAATAAATAGTTGTGGTTGAGTGCGTGATTT